CTCTGAAGAAGAAGATATTGTCATGCACTTCACTGTCAGAAATACACCACAACAGAATGGGGTGGCAGAGTGTATAAACCGGACATTAGCGGAGAAGGTTCGGTGTATGTTGTCTAATGTTGGGTTAGGCAAAGAATTTTGGGATGAGGCTTTGGTCTACGCTTGTCACCTTGTCAACCGCTTACCATCGACTGCTATTGGTGGTAAAACACCATTACAGAAATAGTTTGGAGAACCTACTACAGATTATGATTCTTTACATATGTTTGGTTCCACTGCATATTACTATGTTAAAGAGTCAAAGCTGGATCCAAGAGTAAAGAAGATGATCTTTATAGGGATCACCTCTGGTGTGAAAGGCTATCGTCTTTGGTGTCCAGAAACAAAGAAAATAATCTTCAACAGGGATGTTACCTTTGATGAATCTACTATGTTGAGAAAGGTGACTTCAGAAAAATTGGAGCAGACAGATGGAACTTCCAAACAGGTGGAGTTTGAAGGAAGCAGAATTGTCCCAGCCAGTAAAGAAACTGATGTTGACTCTCCTATGGTAGAAGAAGAGTCAGAAGAAGAAGAGGTTCAGACTCAAGAACCTCACAGCAACATGAATCAATTGCATTAAAAAAGGGAAAGAAGACCATTAGAGAACTTGCTCGTTATGCTGATATGGTCTCTTTTGCATCACCAATTGCAATTGATGACGTTCTGCCACTTTTAATGAAGCATTCCAAAGTTCAGAACATAAAAATTGAAGGATCGCTATGAATGAAGAAATGCAATCCCTTCAAAAGAATTAGACGTGGAAACTAGCTAGTCTTCCGAAGGGAAAGAAGGCAATTGGGTGCAAGTGGGTATATACAAAGAAAGATGGATTTCCTGATAAAAATAACACCCACTACAAAGTAAGATTGGTGGCTAAAGGCTATGCTCAAACGAAGGGAATTGATTATAATGAAGTATTTTCTCCAGTTGTAAAACATTTATCCATCAGAATTTTGTTGGCTTTGGTAGTGCAATTGAATTTGGAACTAGTTCAGATGGATGTAAAAACTGCATTTTTACATGGAGACTTGGATGCGGAAATCTACATGACTCAGCCAGATGAATTCAAAGTTGCTGAAAAAGAAGAGATGGTGCTCAAATTAGAAAAATTGTTGTACGGATTGAAGCAATCTCCAAGGCAGTGGTACAAGCAATTTGACAAGTTTATGATAAGGCAGAAGTACTCAAGAAGCAAATATGATCATTGTGTGTATTTACGCAAGCTACAAGACGGATCCTATATATATCTTCTTCTTTATGTTGATGATATCTGATAACTTCCAGGAGTCAGAAAGAAATTGCGAAACTAAAGACTCAATTGAACAGAGAGTTTGAGATGAAGGATCTTGGTGAAGCAAAGAAGATTCTAAGCATGGAGATATCAAGGGATAAGAAATTGGGGAGGCTTTGCTTATCTCAGAAACAATATATGAGGAAGGTACTAAAATGTTTTGCATGAATGAGAAGTCAAAACCAGTTAGTACACCTCTTGCTCCTCATTTCAAGCTCGGTGCATCCATGTCACCTAAGGATGATGCAGAACGTGAATACATGTCAAAGGTTCTGTATGCAAGTGTTGTTGGTAGCTTGATGTATGCAATGGTGTATACGAGACCCAATATTTCACAAGCAGTTAGGGTTGTGAGCAGGTATATGCATGATCCTGGAAAGGAGCATTGACAAGCTGTGAAATAGATTCTGCGGTATATTCTGAACACCGTAGATGTTGGTTTGGTCTTTCAACAGGACAAACAAGATAGTCAGTGTGTAGTTGGGTATTGTGATTCAGACTATGCAGGTGATTTGGACAAGCGTCGATCAACTACTGGTTATGTGTTTACATTTGTAAAAACACCAGTCAGTTGGAAGTCCACCTTACAGTCAACAGTGGCTTTGTCTACTACAGAGGCAGAGTATATGACAGTTACAGAGGTTGTGAATGAGGCAATTTGGTTTCAAGGGTTGCTTGGTGAATTGGGAAAGGAACAAAAGCACATCAAAGTGCACTGTGACAGTCAGAGTGCTATTCATTTAGCAAAGAACCAAGTTTACCATGCAAGGACGAAGCACATCGATGTTCGATATCACTTTGTACGAGAGATTCTAGAAGAAGATGGAGTCACAATCTAGAAGATTCGGACCACTGAGAATCCTGCTGATATGTTGACAAAAGTGGTAACTACGGTCAAGTTTAAACATTGTTTAGACTTGGTCAATATTGTTACAAATTGAAAGATGAATTTGCAGACACTACTGAAAATTGGATTTTTTTAGAGATGTGTGTGGAATTTGCCAATGTGGAGATTTGTTGGTTTTTTGGCAAATTTTGAATCCCACATTGGTTTTGTATAAGGAGGAGGGGAAATTCTTTTGTTATAAATGGAGCCCTCCTCCTCATTATTTTAGCATCCCACAAATATAAGCCTTTTTCACTATTAAAGGCTATTTGTACTCTTTTTCTCTTTGTAATATTTCCTCTACTAGTGAAATATTATTTTAGTAGTGTTCGAGGAGGTAGGCATAATTTTGGTCTAACTTTGTTAAATTTTGGTGTTCTCTTTATGTCTATTTAATAGCTATTGTCGGGTATAGTTGTTGTTAATTATTGTCCTATTAAAATTACTTGTCTTGGTAGTTCTGTCTAAGGAAAGTGGGTTTTAAGAGGGACCATTGTGACCCCTCCTCTTTCCTGGGAATCTATCTTGGGGTGATTTTTAGTACAATCGTTTTCACACTAATCACCTAGATAATAGTTTTTAATGTGAATTTGTTATTATTGGTGAAAATTAACCCGAATTCCACAACAAAACGTAGACCATCCATTTTTTAATGATCTCATTTTTCCACGGCTAAGTTGTTTTAAGATTATCCACCAGTTTTTAGTTTTCTGAAGACTACACCAAACCCATGCTATTACAGATGTGGCTGAAAAGTCACCAAAAGTCGGCAAAATGTGCCGAATCCATATACTAATGGCTTTTCTTTACTTGTTTTGAATAAATGACCCAAGGAAGGGGATGCCGAGTGTTTGCCTTGTTTTCTTTGCTAACGAGTCAACGACTTAGTTGTCTTCTCTCCCTGTATGACAAAAGGAGCCATGCTTACATTCATTAAAGTTTTACAGTGCATCAGACAAATTGCAGAATTTCTATTAACTGCCAACCAGAGGACTATTTCTCCATGTTCGTAATTAAGTTGTTTTGTATTTTTTATACAAGTAATCAAGACAACAAAAGCAAGAAAATTTTGTTTTTTGATATTTTTATGGCTTGGAATTGGTATTTTTTAGTTGTTTGTAGTTGATCATATTTGCAGATAAATATATTACCCATGTTTCAAGTGGGAAGTAAAATTGTTGCTGATAGTTTGTAGCACACCAGTTTGAATGAACAATAAATACTTTTTCTCATCGAGCCTCTAATATTGATATGGTTTCCGGATGAACATTCTGCTTCAAAAGGTTTCTTGCAAAACAATAATCCTGGTTGTTTAGGCGAAGGCAATTCATTATGACTTCCTAGCATCATAACCACGGGTGACATGCTTGGTCTCTCCTCGGGATGCTGTTGTACACACACATAAAAGGCTAATGTGTATGCATCAGAGCAACTAGGATAGATTGCCGGTCTCTACTAAGAAATCATCAACAACATCCAAAGGATTGCCTTCTTTCCATAAACTCCATGCCTGCAACAAAATTCAGACCTTTTACGCATTTCTAGTTCAAGAGAGAAAACATAATGATAATGGTATCTGTTGACATTTACATGTTCAATTAGGTTGCTGCTTTGATTTGCATGGTAAAACGCTCTATTCTTTCTTCCACTTATAACCTCCAACAATACAATCCCAATAGCATATTCAGGTGCCATATAACCACTGCAGAATAGTCTGATAAAGAAAAATGAAGTTTTTTTATTGGGATTTATGGATCAAATAGTATAGATATGGCATAAAAATACACTTACTAAGTTTCAACTACTCTATTTTGTATTGGCCTCCGTCTGATCTCCTCCAAAAGTTCTTGCCATGCCAAAATCTGAAACTTTCAGGTTCATCTCACTATCCAGTAGAACATTGCTAGTTTTTAGATCTCTATGGATAATCCTCAACCTCGAGTCTTGATGAAGGTAAAGTAGTCCCCTAGCTATCCCACAGGTAATTTGAAAACGCTTGGATCAAGTTAATATTTTGCGTCTCGTTTTATCTGGAAATTTAGCATTCTAGTTAGTATTGCATCTTATATGATCACTGAAGAAGCAAAAGTGATAATATTGAGAGGTTTTCTAATGATTTTCAGACCAAAAATGAATAAATCAAGGCTTCTATTAGGCATGTATTCGTAAACCAGCATTCTCTCATCTCCTTGAGCGGAGAATCCAAGAAGCCTTACAAGATTTTGATCCTGAAGTTTGGCAATCAACTTTACTTCAGTCTTGAACTCGTTCAATCCCTGACCAGAACTCTTTGAAAGTGTCATCAACGCAATTTCTTGTCCATTTGCTAGTGTCCCCTCGAAAACTTTACTAAAATACAGTAATTTTCACCTTAAAAACAGGGTCAAAACCCCCTTCATCTAACTTGTTATGAAATGAAAAACAATCAGTTGCTTGAGCTATTGTATTTGTACCATCAGCGAGTGACTGATGGAGAAATGATGTCGATTGTAGTTCAAGCTTTTGAGAAGAGTATGAGGAAACAACAAGCACTGTAAGAAAAGAAACCCATTCCCATGGATGTCTATAGCTCAGTGCCTACAAAATTGAGTATAAATTCATGCATTGACTATAACTGCAAGACTCAGACTTTTGGCTTTCTATAAATGACCCTCGGCATTAGAAAGTTGATGATTATTGGTTGATAAAACTCTGCAAGTCTTCACTAATAATGATGGAAATCACTAATAAAATGAATAAATGAGAAAACAAACAATTATATAAAATTATAGCCAACACAAATGTAAAATCTTCATAATTTTTTTATTTTTTCTCTATTCTGTCTGTATATTTAATAATTTCATTAGAAAGACAAATATAGAATGAAACAAGAAACTAAAAAGTATCAATGAAAATCTTTAAATTCATGTTGGAAAGCCTCCTCTAACAAAAACCGAGATGCTTCCATCAACTCAGGGCTCAACCTGAACATCAACACACAAAACTCCATCTGGTTAAGCGCACCATCGCCATCGAAATCACCTTCTTTCATCATTGACCTCAAATCATCATCCGTCAAGTCATGTAACCCCAAAAGCGCCGAATTCTTCTTCAAGCTATCAAAAGTGATGACCCTTTTCTCACTGTCCATCAACAGGTTGAACCCATTGCAGAGCTCCCCTATCAGACCATCACCTCCGATCTTTTTGGCCATCACGGGAAAGAAATCATGGAAATTCGAAGAGTTTTGTGAAACTGAAGGAGGAATTGCAGACATGGTTGACGTAATAACAAAGGAAACGAGCACGAAGAAATTAAACTTTGGTGATTGATGTTTTTGTGGAATGGAATGTCTGGGGATGTTGGGATGGAATATATAGAAGAGTGTTAATGGAGATGTGTTGAGATTTCGACGAAAGAGAGGCCATACAGGTAATATGGTCGTGAAAGATGGAAAATGGTGCCTGCTGTTGCCTTTCTGCAAGGTTTCTTCTTGGAAGGTGAGATAGGGATAGAATTGTAAATGTAGTGGGAAACAGGAGTGTGGTTTATCTTTTTTTTTATATACTCAAAAAGCCTTTATTTTTTTAAATGAAAATTTTTAAATTTTTAAAGTTTAGAAGTTAATATTTAGATTTATAATTTAAAGTTTAAATTTTTTTAAATTTTAGTATGTGTTAAAACTTCAAATTTTAAATTTATGATTAAATAAATATATTATGTAAATAAAATTTTATACAATATATATATATATATCAAATTATAATTCTTATATATAATTAATTTCTTATTTCTTCGACCATACCTTTATATATATATATATATATATGCGTGCGTATACTTGCAAATTTAGTTTCCAATGTTTATTAGAATAGTTATTTTATCTCTTATTCTATTTTTGGAATATTTTGTCTCTTAACATTTCATTTTAAGGAAAAATGCCCATAACATTTGATTTTGTCTTTTATTCTTTTTTTTTTGGGACATTTTAGCTCTCAACGATTTATTTTAAGTTAAAAAGCTTTTATATTTTTGAAGTGTTAATCGTGTGTTAACTAATAATTTTCATGCATAGAGGGAGCTTTTTACCCTAAAGTGAAACGTTGGAGGTTAAAATGTTAAAAAATGGTCAAAATAACCCTTTTGATAAATATTGAAGGCTATTTTTTACATTATGACATGTAATGGATATATTTATATATTGTTAGTCAATGAGGCTTTTTGTGTGTGTAAATACTGGTATCCGATCTATTAATCGACTAGTCTGAATCGAGTACTGCAGAGGTGAAGGCGACCCAACCCAGTTTACTCCATTCGTAAACGTCATGATTCAAACCTCTAACCTTGCGTAAAATCAATGATAATTTAACTTATCGGTAAGACTTTAAATTTTGATAATTTTATTTTTAAGTTTAAAGTTTTAATATGACTTCAAAAATTATAAGTGTTTTGACATTTTTATAATTTTACATAATATTTAAAAATTATTATATAAATATTAAACGTAATATTAATAAATTTAAATATATATAGTATTTATCATTTTATTTTGATTATTTATTAAATTATTTTTTATAAATATACGTTTATATAAAATATTTTATTTCATTCCCATCTTGAATATGATAAATTTAATAATATATTATTATATATAAATTTATTATATTATTTTGTATTTAAAACATATTGTATTTGTGGTGTATTTAAATTTAAAACGGTTATTTATCTATCGTTCAAATCAACTTCTTTTTTTTAATTTATTACACATTTTACAAACATAATAGTATAAACCCAGATTATTTAAAAAACAACAATCTCATTTGTCAATAATACCTATTAATTATACCTATTAATTGATTCATTTATCAAAATGTTTAAAGTTAATACATAGTACATGTAACACCCCAACCCGTACCCGATCCGGATACGAGTCCGATATGTCACATTAACCTTTAAAAACGATATTCTTACAAAATATCAAAACATTTGAACTCATTTTAAGAAAATACTACAATATTCTATTAAATTGTGTTTCGTATAAAATTTCCAATCAAAAATGTATTTATGAACAGTAAAATACGTATGAACAATATTGTATGAACATTAATTAACAATGATGAACATACCTGCTACAGTACCAAATGTTAAAATTTTCTAGATTCAAAAAGGGGAATCGATTCCCCTACTACAGGGAATCGATACCCTGCTACAGGGAATCGATATCCTGCTACAATACTGCTACAGTACTTTCGTAAAATACGTATAAATTTATAAAAATCTGATGTTTCATTCGTATAAAATTATCATTTACATATACACATTTAAAATATTACAAAACTTAATCATATGATTTTACAAAACCGATTAGAACATATCGGATTTAAACCTTTATTTACATGTCAACCACTATCCTTTTTACAAAATACATACTATACATTTATTTTTTGATCTGATCTTTGGAAAGGAGAAACTGACATGTCTAGCATAACTTTTACCAATCTTACTCTTCTTGGAACCTACGCGTGAAACAATCACACGCTAAGCCGTTGACTTAGTGAGGCATATAAAACATAATTATATGTTAACTGTAACTTCTACAATGCATGAACATTTGATATTACCTTATCATACCAAAACATATATTCTTTTCTGTAATATATACATACATGCACATATCATGTAACATAACATCATTAACATACTTATCATTTCTCATTTTATCATCACTAATTTATTTATATCATATAAGCATATGTTGAACATTTCCATATATATTATGGAACACATATATCATTTCATAACAAAACACACATAACATCATATAATTCATGTATCATATTTTATATCAACAAAAGCATATACATCACATATATTGTATTTGTTATTGTCTCTTTATTAGCCCATGGTACATTGGTGAGAACTGAAGGTATGTGAGTACATTGAGGTTGTGCACAAATGCTGTCACCATAGCTCGTATAAATTTGCAGTGTAGTGCCACGTAGAATTTGCATCGAAGTGCCGCGTAGAAATGCATCGTAGTGCCATATAAGATTCTCCATAAGGACCACATATAAATTCCTTAATAATCATATACATATACCAAGGATCAAGTAGGTGTCTCAAAAGACCTCATACATGTTCCAAAGAATACATATATGTCCCGAAGGACCACGTAGAATTTGTCCCGAAGGACCGCATAATCCCTCTACTCTTGGCATGCCAACTATACCTCTAGATCTCATGACACATAACATGGGCATTATTTTTTCATATTTATCACATATCATATCATCACATAGTTCACTTACACGTAGAACATTTCCATATGATTCATATTCATATGTCACATAGCTTATACTTTGTTCTTATTCCTTCTCATAGACATATATTCTTTCTCACGTAGTCACATAGGTCTATATCATATAACATATATCATTTCTCATTTGTCCATGTACGTATGTCATATCTTGTTCACATATGTTCGTATATACATCACATAGTTCATGACATAGGCATGTATTCTCATATATTCACATAACTTAGATTGAATATACATATATTCCCATATACATGTCATTCCATTATCCTTATTATTCTTATCATCCCCATTAACCCCTTTTTCTTACCATATTCATATCAAATAACACATATATATCACAACACCAAGGAACAAACATGTCATCATGTAATTTCTATAACATATTTCATATTCTTATATAATCTTATAGATTATTTATATTGTTTCATATGACTTATCACACTAACATATACTTATGCAAATCATGTAACATATATTATAACCTGTTAACACATAAATCACATAGCATTTTAGAATTTACTTCTTACCATAGTAAATCCATCACTGGCTCATCGCAAGCCAATGTTCGTTCTATAACATAAGCACAAATTAAATTGCACTCACCTTAGCCTTGCTTTGATTCGATCATAATCCTTTGATTATTTCAGAACTTGTTTAGGCTCAATATCTACATAAATATAACATTTCAAAATAATTATTAGAAGCCTAAACATTACACTTGATGTTAATAACTTAAGCCCAAAATTCCATATTTTTTTCTTTAGGGGGGAATCGATACCCCTCAGGGGGGAATCTGTACCCCCTGCACAATCTGAAATTTCGTTCAAGCCCAGAAAAATCAATGTTCATGCCCTAAAATTCACTATATCAACTTAAATTCTTCATGTTTCATTCCCTTTCATATTCTTAGCTCAAGTATACATACTTAAACTAATTTATATCCATTTATTTCATCTTAAACCTCAAAATTCTATTCTCCATATAGAAATCAATAATCATACCAAATTTTCCATGTTATCCAAACTTAATTCTAACACTTCTAGCTTCTTATTCTCATAGATGACAAGTCAAATTCATCCTCCAAATTCATTTAAACCTTCTTATTCAAAATTTCACTTAAAAACTCATTTTATTTAATCTTTCATAACTCCTTTATCTTTTGATTTTAAGATGACTTAAACTTTCCTTAAGCTTAGTTATCATCTAATGATCAAAACCCAACTTAAAAATTCAGCTAATAATAAAAAATTAAGAAACTCACCTTATACTTCAAGCCTCACGTATGAAGAAGGAAGAGGAGAAGATAACTCTGGAGAATCCTCTCTTTTTCCACGTATTATCTCTCTAAATAGGGAGATGAAAATATCTTTCAAGCTAATTTACCATACTACCCTTTTAATTCTTTTATATTTACCACTTAATCTAATACTGAAATATTCCCATTTAAATCACCAAATTCTGAAACTTTACAATTTAGTCATTAACCCGGTATTGAGGATGTTACAGTACATATTCTATATTGTTTTAGATATTAATTTATTATTATGATATTTCTCATATTATTTTTATTTTAATATTTCCACAGCTCAGTTTTACTCTGCTATCATGGACAAATTCTCAGGTTCAATAAATGATTTGTTTGTTTATTTATTTATTTTAGTCAAAGCTAACAGTTGCAGCAACAAGTTTGTAGAAAAATTACAATTATTAGAGGCTGCGTTCAAAGGAAACATTGTAGATGAGATTCTCTAATACAAAATAAAGTAAATTATATTATTGATCATTTAACTATTATTTTTTTATTTTAATTATTATTTTTAAAATTTTGTCAGTTAGATTATTCAATTATTTAAATGTGTTTAATTAAGTCATTTGTTGTTAATATTTAACGGAAGGATTGACGTATCAGTTAATAAAATTAGTATAATTATACATATGATCCTCAATATTTATAAATTCTTTTAATTTGGTCATAATTTTAATTCAATTTAATAAATTTAATCTCTAATTAAATAGTGTTAAGTGTCACTGCTAGATTGTAGAATATTTTATTAATTTTAATTGCTTAA